TTCCAGGCAAACACTTCAATATTGCAAGGTAGGTAGCTTATAAGTTCAACCATGATAGTGATGTCAAGATCTCGACTAGTCGTCACTTTTTTGCCTTGTTCGAGCTCAGTATCTACCAATTCTTTTACAAGAGAAAGTCTTCTTCAATGCTCGAGCTTGGGCTCAGATGATGAGATTTGTATGATGTTACTACTTATTCCCCGAACACTAATAATATAGCACTATCTAGCAGCTGACTGGTCTCCACGCACGATCCCTACACCATTATTTGTAGGAAACATCATAAGAGGATGAAAAGTGGAGATAATAGCTTTGATCTTTTTGAGCAAAGGCCTCCCCAAAATGGCAGTGTAAGATATCGAAGCATGAACTACCTGGAAAGTTGTAATTACTATCACTTGCTTCCGATCTAATCTTAAGGTGAGTGGAAATCGACGACTCTTTCTAGGATAATTGTTCTACCTTTGAATCCCTGAAAAAGGGTTTTGACTGCTTTGAGGTCTTCGATCGAAATTCCCATCCTAATAAAAAACTCATGAGAATGTGTGTTGGCTACGCTTCCATTGTCAATCAAAATACCTTTCAAATAAAAAATAACTATGACGACTATTATGACTAAGGCATCATCATAAGGAGATAATATGCCTTCCAAATCCTATGACCCAAATATAATGTCTTCAAGTTTGTGATAAACTTGCCTCGAAGTTGAGTGTATTGCCAAACATACTACTTACGTCTACTTTTGGAGTCTCCTCATGATGCTATACCCTAGACAAAAATTTTAATGGTTCCTGCGGTGGACTTCCCCCTTCCCTCAGGAACCTTTTCCTTATCACGATCATTCCTTGGGCGTTTGTCATGACTAACATAAGCACTTAGGAATCTTCTTTTGATTAGAGCCTCAATTTCTCGTTGTAGGACTACACAATTCTCCTTGATATGCCAATGGTCCATATAATAATCACAATACTTGCTCTTGTCTCGAGTATTAGGAGGAGACTGCATCCTTGAAGGCCATTTAAGCTTATTCATAACCTTGATCTCCATCAGAATGTTAAACATAGAAGTATTCAATCGCGTGAATGATATCGACGATGGCTCATGTCTCTTCTTATTTCTAGGAATTTCTAGTCGAGGGTTAGGATTACGTTATCACTTATGTTCGGGATTTTTCGAGGTCGGATGAGTAGTTCTACTAAGATTCAATTTCTCCTTCATATTAATATATGTTTATGTTTTGAGTGAGAAGCTCAACCACTAACTTAGGCGAGGTTTTTGACAAAGACATTTTGAATGCCTTACATCTTATGGAATATGTGAGGGTGAAGATTGCTGTTGCGGTATGTAGGTCAAGTATTTGAAATCTTTCTATATTGAACATCATTATGAAATTATGCAGAGATTCATTCGGTCTTTGACGAAGCTGTATGAAGGAAGCAGCCATTTTCTTGATGCGTTTACTACTTGCATAGAAGACTAAAATTTGTCGGCCAAATCTGAGAATGAGGTAATAGAATTGGGCTCCAAAGTAGTGAACTAATCCCTGGAAATTAATCAAAGTTTGTGGGAAAGCCTTGCACATCACCAAATCTGGTGTTATTTGCAAATTCGCGATGTCTATATATATGGTTGAACGAGTCCATAGTTCTATAGTATTCTTTTATATGAGAATACTTAAATCTTCTGGTAGGGAATACGACAAGATCATTGGAGTGATCGGAGTGTTAGGGGTGAAACCTGTTGGCCCATGCGTATTCTAAATCATACCAGCTGCAATCCTATCCTGAATGATACTTGCAAGTTCAGTTGAGTCCGTAGTTACTGATCTTGAGCCCAAGGTCATGTGAGGTATGCCCGAGGTTTCATCATTACTGTTACCAAGAACGAGATGTGAAGCCCAAGCTCGAGCTCGAGCATCTGCCATAAACCACTATGTTGTACGACACTGGATGCAGATTTATTTGATTTAGCAGCTGAATTAGCATGGCAACTTATTAGCGGAGCTCCTCAAATGCTTCAGAAGTAGCAACCACTGGTGAGGATGTTGGTTCTCTTGATGATTCCTCATTTGGTACCATAGGATCTTCAACCAGGGTTTGGTTAGGAACGTATAAGTTTGTTGGAAGGTATCCTGAACACATGCTAACCATGACTTTTGGTAGCGCTTCCCACAGACGGTGCTAATGATGCTACCAAAAATTATACATGTTGATTTTTCTAATTTAAGGACTGAGAATAGACACGAACAGAATCTTCCAGTACCTGCAACAAAGATGTCCATGTGTATCTTTGTCGCCCCCTCCGATCTTAAGTTAGAGAGAGAATTTATGTGGAAACCTATATACTGTAAATTATGTAAAAGCATATATCTGAATAATGAATTGGAGCATTGCATTTATAAAAGTAGGTAGCATATTTCTTGTAGGATTAAGTTATTCAAATTCCTAAGAGTCCTACCATGATTAGGAACTGCAACTTATTGATATTATACCATTGATATGTTCGGATAAAGATAGAAATCCAGTGATAGAGTCCTATTAGGATAGGACAGAATAGTTATAGCTGGATTCAACATCCTTAGAATTGGATAAGCCTTATCTTACCGGAGAGTACTAATGGATTAAGTGTTGTTGGGCGTGAGGTCAACTCACAACCTCGAGGAGAGCCTAAACCAAAGGGCAGTGTTTATGCCCGATGATATAACCCGATCAGGTCCACATGCCCTGGGGGATACCGGCATAGTGCTCGTGGTATCCTCTATCCTGATGTGTATTGCCTAAGGAGTTCAAGCGAAGTTATGTGGAATGGGCAATTTTACTCGTCGAGTGTGAGTGCTCAGGTAGCTACAGTTTTTGCCAATATCAGTATATATAAAGTCATTCTCGTCAAGTTAAAATATAATTGCATCAAGTCAAAATCAAGTTTTATATATAATACAAAAGTCATTTAAGAAGTGGTGTTGTTAAATAACAACGAATAAATCTAAATGAACATGGCCTATGTAGGCTGTTCGTGTAGCGTAATTCAATAACTAAACCATAATCTGGCAACAAAATGCCTCGTATGGTATGGCAACTTGAAAATCAATCACTTGATTTGATGCCTACTCAGTCACCATTTCATTCCAATTTAACAATTCATTTTCCGTGACGGCAAAGTAAAGCCACCTAACAAACAAGTGTTTAAAACAAACTATTATCTCCCCTCAAGAATGGCATCTTTACTTGAGCAAATAAACCAAAATGATGGGGGCTTAAAGAATCTACTTAATAATATTGATTCCCAGAAGATTATTATAAATTTGAGAGAAGAAATCCATAACATGAATAAAACTCCAAGTTATGTAGAATGTAAAATCTATTGGAAACAAAATGATACAGCTATTAAATTTCCCAAAATTTTAGTGCATAAGGAAAACTAATTCTTTTGCCAATACTGAATCGACTTGTGCTATTCTAGATGAGAGAACTTATGCATCGAAGTGCCATGTCTTGAATATTTTAATTCCAGAATGCAATGAACAGAGTACATTTCAAATGCATTAATTATGTAAATATGAACACACACAGAAGGTAATAAAATGAGAAGAAGGAAGTTACATTAGTTTAAAGAATAGAAGCTGCATCTGGAAAAGATTACCATCTCGACGTCGACTTCTTTGAAGCCCAGCAGTGAATCAATTTGACTTTCACTGAAGCGGAGAACAAACAAAATCAATTCAATTTTTTAATACTAAAAAATGATCCACAAGCCCGATAGAGGAAGAAGGAAAAAGACAACATGATGAAGGCAAGCAGTTTTAAATGGCAGAAGGATTTGGGGACAAAGAATTGAAAATATTGATTGACAACTCAGTAATCTAGATTGTTGACCTCAAAAAATATATCGCTGATTTGGTCAACAGATCCCAAGGTCTCTCACGTCCACCCAAGCTTGGTTCCTGCACACTTGGATGAACCGTTAGTCACACGTGGCCTTCTTCAGAGGGGGTGGAGTAGGCTGCGCGTACTACATCGGTCAAGTCAGTTGAAAGAGTTGTTATATGAGTGTGGGGAGCTTTAAACGTGAGCTTCCAATATAATAAAAGGGGGTCAGCTTTGGGGAGAAACAAATAAAAGATATGGTAGCAAGATTATAGCTTTGAGAGTCTAAACTTACATTATATTTGAATGACACTAGGTGTGAGCTTTTATACTTGGGCATGGTGAATGAAGGTTGTGGGATGACAGTGCATGTGGCATCATCCAAGTGATTGACCTTTTTTTGTCGTAAACATCAATCAATCACAATCTTAAATGCTAATACCACTTTCGTATCCATAAGACCTAGCTTGCGGCCTTGGACTTGACCAAATAAGCTAGGCGACGGTGGCAATGAGTTGTCTTGTCAATTACAACGATCCGTTTAAGATCTCTTCATTGCCTCATCTTGGACCGGCTCTTCTCATGGGGTTTGCGTATAATGGGATCAACTCAGCTTCATTTCGCGGGAGGAGACGGGTCGTCCGCACTTGAGAGTTGGTCCAGCTTCGCCTCATGTTAGTGAACAAGGCATGTAACCGTCGATCCATTTGCCACGCAGGAGGATTGAGGCCACGTGGCAGTTCTCGTGTCGAGAGGCGTAACATAGACTTTGACCAGCTACTCAATACACATTAACCTTGATACAATTCCAAAATACACTCAACACAAAACTAAATGCCCATTTTGACTAAATTAAAATGAATTAGTTCCAACACGGGGTCCCAAAATAAGAAGTATTACAAAATTTCAGTAACTTAGAAGTCACTACTTCAGTATACACACAGTTCACTTAAAGTTTGCAGGTTCCTAAACCATGCCATGTTCGGTAAACGGGATCAAATGAGAAAAAATATTTAAACTTCGTTCATTGTTCTGTCTAGTTCTGTAAAAAACTTAGNTTCATTGTTCTGTCTAGTTCTGTAAAAAACTTAGTGGTTTTTTCATATCGAGAAAAGTGTAGACAGACATCGATAATATTTAAGGATAGAAAAACTTGGCGAAAAAAAGCTCGTTCCAATTATCTTGCACGCCAGGCAAGCACCAGTGCACACAATCAGCATAGCTAATGGGGTTTGCTATCTGCTCTGGGGTTAAAGGCGCCCATTGCTTCTTGTAAATTGTTGTATGCGCATCCTTCCTGTAATTCGAGAGCTGTGTGATGTTGAGAAATGTAATGGGAATGTTCGTTTCACTAAACAGTTCCCCAATTGCCTGCATTATGTTTTTCCAAGTGTTGGATCCCCAATATGTAGGATCTTCTATCATCTTCGTTTCGTTGTAACAGTTACCATTTGGATCACCACCCCAATCTTTGCTCCTGGAAAATGCGAATGAATGAATCAGATATACATGACGAGACCACTAGTCCCAAGTTACTTTAGTGGACTAGGCACGTGATGTGTACATATATAGTCTACAAACATGACCCAACCAGTCACATTTTGAGTCTAATATTATAAGGGCTCACTTGACATGGCTTTAAAAAAGTCAAAAAGAGCTTTTGAGATCCAAAAGCTGTTTTTAAACCGTTTGGTTAATTTTATGAAAAACATTCTTTTAGTTAAAAAAGATTTTAGAGGAAATTCACACAATATAGCTTCATCTAAGAGCACTTTGGAACTATGAAGCTCTTTTGAAGATTGATTTTCAAACAAAAATTAAGGTAATTTCTTTTAGAAGCATTTTTAGAGGAAGCAAAAGCAAAAGTCATGTCAAATGGACCCTAACTTAAGACGGGAAGTGCAGAAATTAGCTTGTTTTACCCACTTTTCATGAGAAGGGGACATGCTGCTGAAAAAAACTCTTGTTTTCTTAAGATCCACGTTCTGCTCTATCCATCTCAGCATAGTTCTTATTGCCATGCTATAAGCTTCCACCGTTGGCACCTTGACTATGTCTTTTATTTTATCATCAAAAGATCCTCGTCTGTAAATTAAACTCAATTTACAATGATTTTTTCAAGAGCCTGAAAAGGGATTGAACATATATGTACAAAGAAACGAGTGAGAATTATTTACAGTATTTTGAATTTCTCGCCTGCCATCCACCAAAGATAAGTGTTGAATACAATTATATCTGCTCCTTTCCATCGCTGTCCATGCTTATCAATCGAGCCATTGCGAACAATTCTATCTGTTACCCTGTGTACAATGGCATTATCCGAGTTCGACTCAAGAAGAAAGGGTGCCCAGTAGTACTCTATTGTAGCATTATATTCCTGAATACATGCAACCAAGATTGATAATTAACTAAAGAAATAAAGATACATGAGAAATAATGTACCTAGTGCATATAAGAAATAAGTGTGACCTTGGCTATAAAAGTTCTCTTCGAATCTTTCAAAACCATGGATTTGGCATGTTCAGGGATGACTTTGTGAAGAAGGCAGACCAAGGAAATAAATTGGCCTCGATTTAGTGAATCACCAACAAACATCATCGTCTTTCCTCGAAGGCTTTCAAGCATTAGTGTTGCATTGAAACTGCAAGAATTGTAATAAGAATATCAAGATTTCTCCATCACATCATAACAAATTTATCAAGATTTCTTTTGTAAACCAATAAAACATGTTTAAATTAAATAAACCAATGGCAAAAGAAATAATTCCAGTATCTTGAGCCGGTTGAACTGGAAAGAGTAAGGCATCTCACACATCTGTCCCCTCTCACTTTGTCATATATGTGTCGTCTTTCAAATTGATGCCCATATACAAATGATACTTCCATGTAATCGGTGTGGATAATGCTATTTGTACATTCAAAGTGTACATTATTGTTGACATCGTGTGATGTGTAAAAAATCTCACCATTGATTTGAATAATTATTCAAATAAATGACCAGCTTGTCTGCCATATCACAATGTCAATAAAAATGTCAACAAACGCATGATTGAACTCCCAGTTTACCATTTTCGTTTCTAAAGTACATAAAGGTTACTTGAAATATAGGTTACAGTTAAAACTTTTTGTTAGTTTGGAGAGACAAGTAACCAATTTGACGCAGTGATAAAATTTAAAATTACATTGAAGTTGAGTGATTAATTAAAATAAATTAAAAAGTTAATTGACTCCATAAAGATTTCACTGAAAGTTCAGTAATTGCAGCTGAAATTTACCCATCCCCTCACCCTTCCCCTCCTAACCTCCCGGGGCTGTATAGGATAAAAAAAGTTACTGTAATATAACGTATATGAAAACATATACCCCTATTTGAAGATCATTATTTTGAGAAAATTGAATTTTGAATTTTTTTTTTTTTTTTGAGAATATATGGTTAAAAGTTGGGGAAATTTTTTTGAATTTAAGTGTAAAATATTTTATTACGTAAATGTGTAGTTGAAAATAAGATAAGAATTAAAGAATTTTGAAAAAATGATTGTCAGGCATGGGCTAGTCTAAGGAGGTGACTATGTTAGTTAAAAAGTAAATTTGAAAATGATGACAAATAAGTAACTTATAACACAACCAAACATGCTCATAGCCTTCTCAATAAAAAATGATGACTCGTTTTTAAACGAAGTTTTTTAAGAAGTGTTTTCCAAAGAAATTGAGCTACTAACAGAAGCAAAAATGTAATTGAAACTTTCCAATAATTGCTCCTGTATGTTAATAAAACTTGCAGGAAACAAATTACAAAAATGTTTACTAATGAGTTTCAAATTTCAAATTCTCCACTTGAAAAAGATTAAATTGAATTGAAATTGAAATAAATGGTAGAAAAATGTTTCCTTTGTTAAAAATAAAAAATAAAAATTCCCATGAGTTTCTATGAAATGGTCTTGTTTCTGAATTGAGTATAAAAGAATTTATTATCTTTTTGTTACCATATATTCAGGCAATTTTGATTAGGAAATTTTAAACGTAAATTCAATTATATAATATATCATTCAACCAAATGTCCATTGTATGGCAATATATTTTGTGCATAATTTACTTAATAAGAAAATAAAAGAATAATTAAAATAAAACCTTGGAATAGAACAGTTATGAGGTTGCCATCTCCAACGCTGATAATCCTTGTCCGGCCGGCCATATTTTTGACAAGCGAGCTGCGCTGGGATGTACGGACAGTCGTCTTCCTCGTAAAGCGGCCGAGTCTCATCCCTCACCCACCTCCCACTAAAGATATCACAGCCTCTCTCAGCTTCTCCAATGGAAAAAGGCAACTTTTCCCTCCCCTTCTCTAACAACAAAGAAAGAAAAAAAAATCACCTACATTAGTACTAAGCCCCTGTTTCACAACCATTATTTTAAAACTCTTTAATTCTCGTACTTATTTTCAATCACATATTTACACAATAAAATATTTTTTACGTAAACCCAAAATTTTCCGTACTTTTTAACCACACATTTTTTAAAAAAATTATTCAAAACTCTATTTTCTCAAAATAATAGTCATCAAATAGGGGCATACTGAAAAATTAAAAATAACATGTTGAACATATAGATAACACACAAAAACGATGTATATATATAATATATATGATCATAAAACACACATAGATACACATGACTAACTGGTAATTGAGTCTGTTTGCTTTGGATTGAGATCAAGTTGGCTAAATATACAACTCATATCTCGGCCATAAAGGATGGTGACAAAGAAGATTAAGGCTAAGAAGGTGAAAAGTCGACGAGGAGGCCTCGCCTTTCTGAACACGGAGGAAGGAGGTGGAGAAGAAGATGGTGACTTCATCAGTTTGAAGCCCTTTCTTTGGACTTTGCGTTTTTGTTTATTTTTTTCTTGAGTTGGTTTGTTAATATTGCATGGGTTATACCATGTGACTATAATATCATAAATATAGGAATATTGATACAGGCTATAGATAGAAGAAAATTAATAATATTAGCTAAGTTTGCCATCTTAGCATAAAAGTGAAAAAATTGAAATATAATTAACGCACAAATTACTAATATTAGTTTTAAATGTAATTTTCAATCTTGGTTAAAAAGATAAAATTATAAAAAACTAACCTAGAAATTACTAATACTAATTACGTTTTCTATTCTTGGTTAAAAAGTAATGTATGCGCTTAATTTTGGAGATTCTTTTGTGTTAAAGACTTTGTAACGTTTCTTTGAATGTCGATACATGTGAACCATGCAATTTCAAGTTTTCTTTTGATTAACAAATATGTGATTGTCATTGTAATTATTTTCTTCTTGTTAGTTAATTCATTTCATTAATCACTCGAGAGGATTAACTCTTGCACCATGAACGTTGTCATATATGTTGAAAACGAAGATGATATTAGATTGTTCTGATTCCAAATTGTTGAAGAAAATATGAGATTATAGGCACAATACGAAGTAATTGATTACAAGAATACAAGAACAAAATAATTTCAGAGTAAAAGAGATTTCAGTAAAATATGGAGAAAAAATACAAAAATTTTGTGTTTACGACTTTGTCTAACTTAATATAAAGTACAATGAAAATGAATGCTTAAAACGGTCATCAGTCTAGTCGTCGCTCGAGTGCCGGAGGGCGCCAAGCGGGCGGCGTTGGCGCCTCTCGAGCGCTAAGATGACACCAAGCAGGCGCTAGCGCTATGCACAAAATTTTGACGGCATCGTTCGAGTGATAGGCTAGTGGCCAGCTAAAGGAAAAGCACCGAGTATTTCTCCCTTGTCAATATGTTGACCTCTTCGAATTTAATACAAATTCAAACTCCCAATTGGGCTTCCAAATATTAACTAGAATTTGCCAAATAGACTTTGAATAGGATTTCAAATAGAATTCTGGCCACACCTAATTCTAACAAACTCCCCCTTGACACGAATTCCACTACAATGAGTAAACTTCAATTACTCTTCACCTTGAGACAAATTCCACTCCAAGGAATAAATTTCGACTCTTTAACAAAAAATACAAACGAAATTCCCTATCAAAATTTTCAATTGAAAATATTTTCCAAAATTTTGCCACCCAACTAGGGTAAAACTCAATTTCGAGTATTAATAAAATTCCAAGAAATATCTTGAACATCAAAGTTGTTCGAATCACAGGCAACAAAATCAAATAAGGCTAAAACAAGCCTTGTAACTGAATCACCACAAATGAATGTATCAAAAGAAGGATTTTGACTAAAATCAACACCCTTAATCGCATTCAAATCATTAACTAAATCAGCAACATTATATCTATGTGGAAGATTATGATAAAAAAAATGGGTCTATTACTAGCAACTGAATATAATGGTACGTCGATAATGGTGGCAAAGCGACATTACCCATAACTTCTAAATTCAACTTAGATGTATTCTTCAAAGAAGATGCCAAATTATACTCCAACAATACATAATCCAACTCCGAATTCACTCGAGTTCTTAAAGTATATTGATTGATCAAAAATTCTATATAACGTTGTAGGACATATAACTAGCATTTTCTATGTCCATTCAATAAAACATGGGCTCATTTACTAACTTTCAGGATTTCACATTCAACAGCATACTTGTACCCTTTTGAATTTTGAGTACTCAAGGAGATAATGTTTCACTTCAAATCTGAAAATGTCTTTATTCTAATCCGGCTAATACTAACTATCCTATAAGTTGTATTATTTCTCATTACCACAACACATTTCGAAACTATTTCATATGTTGACAATAAATCCCGATTGGGGCACATTTGAAAAGTGCAAGTTGTGAATCCAATCCTCTCTAGGTTTGGAGTCGTAGTAAGTAAAAGTTCTCTATCACTATGACAATTTTTTGCAATTTTGGCTTCGCCTAAAGTTTTTGATGTTGATTTGCAGCCAATTTTTCTTTATTCTACAACTTGTAACAATCATTTAACTAGTGCCCATTTCTTTGCATTAATTACAAAATTTGAAGTTAGAATTTAATTTGCCCTTTGCACAACCACCACAACCACGAGTCCATCTTCATGAACCTCAGATCTAACAAGATGCTGCATCTTCTCATTTGAATATAGAGTTTCATAGACTTCTTCAATGGTGAGGATATCACGATTACATAAGATTATGTATCTAAAAGACATATATGAAACGGGAAACGAATATAACAAAATCAAACTCAAAACCTCTTTATCATATTTAATCTCCAAGATTTCTAAATCAGCGATGATTTCCTGTAAAACAACTAGTTGATCTTCAAGAAATATACCTTTTGTCATACGATGAGAGTATAGGCGTAACTTCAAATGCAATTTGTAAGTTAGACTATTCATCCTGCATAATTGCTCTAATTTCAACCATAATGGAGACTATTCATCCTGCATAATTGCTCTAATTTCAACCATAATGGCGCGGTTGACTTCTCTTTTAAAAAGATCTGAAGAATATTATTTGAAAGATGAAGATGAATTTGAGATAGGGCCTTTCCATTCCTCCATTATTTTTTCTTCGATGTCTAAGTTGTGGACATCTTATCAAAACCCGACAACTTATAGTCCAAATCCGTCTGAACGAGTACTACTTTCATATTTACTTGTCACAATGAAATTCTAGTACTGCGATACAAAGGCGGAATATCATATTTCATGGTTGCCATCACAAAAGATCAAGTTGAACTCTTAACTTGATCAAAACCTCGTTCTCCCAAGAATTTCCAAGCCTTTGGATCTGATAGCAGTTTGTTGAAAGTGAAGATGATATCAAATTGCTTTGATACCAATTGATGAAGAAAATATGAAATTATATGCAAAATATGAAGTAATTAATCATAAGAACAAAATGATTTGTTGACTAAATAAGATTTTACTAAAATATAGAGAAATAATACAAAGATTTAGTATTTATAATTTTGTCTAACTCAATATAAAATACAATCAACAACTAAATATATATAGGGAATGTTTCAAACCCTAAAAGTAGAGTTATAGATATAAATGAATTTTCAAGCATGTCCAACGCTCAAATAGGCCTCGGAAGGACAAGCTGCCGCTCGAGTGCAAGGCTGGCGCTAGCTCTTTGCACAAAATTTCGACGGCTTCACTCGAGCGGTAAGCTAGTGGAAAAAGGCCAAAATTTTCAACTCTCAATTGGGTTTCCAAATAGAACTTCAACTAAAATTTACCAAATAAACTTCTAATAAAATTCCAAATAGAACTCTAGTCACACCCTAATTCTAACAATAAATGTGAAAGATTGATGATATGTAAAAATATTTTTAGCTCAAACTTGAGCATATTAACTCAACCAACTCCAATTATGGAAATACCAAGATTGGGGTTCATGTTAAGGTGGAGCCTAATCTCCAAGTTCGATCAACATATTGAGGTCGAGCTTCAAGACCAAAGGAATGATCTCCTTGCCATTATCTCACACCATCTAGGAATACCAATCCTACTTTGATTATGACTCTCTAGGACTTTTACCCTTATCCAAGCCCCTTACCTACCACAGTTTCGTTTAAACTCAAATAGGACACTTTGAGTATAATAAAAATACCTTACATGATAAGGATAAGGACTACTGGTAGTTAAATCCTTTTAGGACTCCATCATCAATATCTATAAATACAGGATCAAGGTTCATTATTCAGGTATACGTTTTTATACAATTTCCAGCATACAGTCTTTCCCATCGATTCTCTCTCTGGCTTCAGTGTCGGAGGGGTAATGAGGACACACCTCGAAGCCTTTGTTTTAGGTATTGAAGATTTGTTCGTGCGTAATTCAAGCATCCAGTTCGAGATTAAGCAGGTGCAGGTTTTTGGTAGCATCATTGACGCCTCTATGGGAAACGTTACCAGAAGCCATGGTTAATACACTTTCAGGTCTTCCAACAGCAAGCTCATCTGTTCCACATCCCCCCATTGAAGACCCTTCAGTCTCCCAAGAGTAATCATTAGAAATACCAACTCTCAACCAGCTGTTGTTACTACCGGAGCTTTCGAGGAGCTTCGCCAGTAAGTTACTGCATTAACTCAGTTGCTGAGTTAAAGAAATTTGTATCTAGTACCAACATTGCATGATGGTTTAATGGCAGATGGCCGAACTCGAGCTCCCCCTTACGATCCGGGCATGGGTGATGTCGGAGCCTCAAGCGTACCTCACATTACCTTGAGCTCGAGATCAGTCGCTATGGATTCAAATGAAATTGCCAAGATCATTCAAGATGGGATCATGGCTGGTATGCTTCATAATACTCAAGCGACAATGGGATTCATCCCTTTTACCCTTGAAGTCTTAGCATACCTTCTACCAGACAGATTTAAGTATCCTCGGGTGAAGGAATATGATGGGACAACTGACCCCATCAACTACCTCAATGTGTACGCGAATATCATGAACTTGCAGGTCGCACCAGATGCAGTAATGTGTAAGGCCATTCCTCAGACATTCATTAATGTAGCTAGGGATTGGTTTTCCACATTAGAGCCCAACTCCATAGCTTATTTTTAAAATTTGGCCGATAAGTTCTCCATTTTTTTGCAAGCAGCAAGCGTATCAGGAAGAAAGCTGCAACACTCATGTAGATACGTCAAGGACCTAATGAAATACTTTGCAACTTCATGACAAAGTTTAACAAAGAAAGACTCCAGATTCCCGACCTACATATCACAACTATCGTCTCTGCCCTAACATACGCCGTAAGATGTAAAGCATTCAAGATGTCTCTATTAAAGACCCCTCCTAAATCGATGACCGACTTACTTACTCGGGCTAAGAAGTACATTGACATGAAGAAAACCGTGTTTCAAATGAGAGATATCCTGCTATCAAGTA